GCCCACCTGATGGTAAGCGGTTACCGTAGCCTATAAACGCCTGCAATACCAGAGGTATTACGCGCGCGTTGCCGACCCTGAAGAAACCTCTTTACCCCCCTTTTGAAGAACCTCATGCTGTAGTCTCTCGGGAAAACCTCGGCAGGGAGTTCATTCCATAACCTGAGTGTTCGTGGGAGAAAGCATCTCTGAAACCGCGTTGTACGCGACCATTTAGGCTGTAAGGTATGAGGGTGAACTCCCTGTCGATGGCGAGCCGTACGATGATAGAAAGTGGCCGTAGGCATCATATCGAACAGTTCCTCTGAGCACAATCCGTTGTATAAGAGGTAGCAGAGTGAGGCAAAATCTCTCCTAAGACTTAAGGGTTCAATACCGCTTGCAAGCATGGGATCATCGACAATTCTCATAGCTCGCCGTTGCACTGAGTCGAAGGGTTCAAGCTGGTATCTAGGTGCTCCCGCCCATAAGTGACAGCAATACTCCATATGGGGCCGGATTTGCGATTTGTAAAGCATTAATCGTTGATCCGGCGTGAAGTAATGCTTCGCTCTATTGAGCACACCGAGTTTTTTGGTTCCCCCTTGCGGTTCCCCCTGGAAACTATCATGATTAATTCCAGATGAATTCATCATGACGGGCTAACTGGCCTGTTTTCATTCTCATCGATCACCCTTCACTACTGTCCCGCCAGCGTATCCCATTAGTGCAGGCGGGGTTACCATTCCATTTTCATACAATAAAAAAAAACTAAAGGTTTGATGGTTAAGGAATGGACATGTACATGAAAGATGTTTAAAAAAAATATGACGTATCTTAACAAGACCAATAGATATCAAAAATAATGATTTTTAGAAATATTGTCTGTCAGTTTATATGTATGTTTAATTCGATACTATGCAAAATATTCTACATCAGATTAGATGCGGATTTTATAGTTATACTCCTCAAGGTCTAACTTAAAAACTAGTGTATGTTTTATTTCAATATACAATCTGGAAGTAATCTATTTGATATCATTGATTCTTCTACTTATAAAATCCACATATACGAAGTATAAAAAGAAGTTTCGAAGAAATTTAGGGGTTTTTTAAACAACTTAGAATGGCAAACACGACGGCCCACCTGATGGAAAGTGGTAACCGTCGCCTATAGGCATGAGCAGTACCATGGACAGAACAGAGTATACTGTTTCGCCCATGATACCCCCCATGCGTTGCCATTCCTGAGGACTCAGGTGTTATTCCTCTATACACTGTAAATTCATGCCATATCCCACCCTTCATACCGAAACACAGCCATGCAAACACAACTGCTTCACGGTAGAAACACGAATGGAACAGAGGTACCCAAGCAATCGACTTTTTATAAAAGTCTCCCTCTGGTATACTGTAAATATTTGATTTAGAAAGTAGAATCATTAGAATTGAATTGCGTGTTTATATATGGATTATGCTTAGCAAAATACAATCTTCTACTTCGCCAACACAAACGGCACCTTCAATCGAAGCAAAATTAAGAGGGAACCAACACGAGAAGAGCCTCCGCAGATTGCAAAAGGAATTGTAAATATTGGTTTAGAATTGGAGACGCAATCGCGTAACTTAGTCGCAATGATTAAAGATTGCGTCCCACAAAAAAACTGCCTTCAATTGTGACAAAACAAGTTATATTGATCTAAGACTTTTTTTTTTTAATGTCTGGAAAATGCTTTATGCAGACCCATACACCTTGTGGGAGGTGAATGGGTACTGTGGGAATCCCCCCGTAAGGTGAGGGTGTACCCATCAAAAACCAGACGATATACCATCGAGGTGCCATATGTCGGAGACATGGGTTCGCTTTCGCACTCACCACATCTCCGACGGCAGCGACCCGCCCCCTGATGGTAAGAGCAGGTCTCCTCTCTATCTAAGACTTAAACTACTGAACCGATTTTGATAAAGTTCCTATAGGACCAATCTGTAATTATATCCTTTCAGATAAAAAAATAATTTTCCAATTCGGACCTGACGGAGTTATGCGGTGACAAACATGAAAAAAAAATAACCGAATTGAGTACATCCTTCTTTTAGAAGTCGTATGATTATTTTTGGTATGATTTATGTTTAATGGATACTACTTATAAACATTTGTATTCTATTAAATATGGCGAAATATACTGAACGTTAAAAATGAAACAGTAACATCATATCGTCTATGTTTCTGGTAAATAAATTGTTATTATTGTTTATTTGAACGATAATATATAACAATAAGCGTATTATATACAAGTAATCCGACTCGGCTTCGCACGGATCAAGAGAATTTTCAAAAATTATATATATCCTGTGTTATTCGCTGTTAATGTAACTTTTCATGGATCAAAGAATTTGAAAAAATTAGTTTTTTTTTATACAACTTAGAATGGCAAACAAGCTGACGTCACCTGATGTAAAGTGGTAATCGTCGCCTTTAGACATGAGCAGTACCATGGACATAACAGAGTATACTGTTTCGCCCATGATACCCCCCATGCGTTGCCATTCCTGAGGACTCAGATGTTATTCCTCTGTACCCAGTAAATTCACGTTAGGTATTAAATTCAAGTTAAGTAGTTTCTGAGTTTATTGAATGCAAACAAATAATTCATATTTTTTCATTATAATATCAGTACCTATGGACAGCAATATAAATATTCGTGAAGCGTATCTCTCACATCGGCCGTACAAATTCATTCGTCAATACTGATTTATGTGTTGGATTGCCGGCGATTCCGTTGGACGCACCTGAGCAAACTGCCCTTTGTTGCAGTGAATAATCAACTTTTCCTTCTTGTAATAGGGTATGTATTGGATTAAAAGTGCGTTTGTATGTAGAACAAATGAGTTATTAAAACAAGTGATTAAAGCTTGAACAACATTACAATGTAATCGATCAATGTATTGAATCTGATATCATCTGAAATTGCATTACGCTACGAAAATAAATATATTTTTTTATAACACAGGGGACAAACGAGCATGCATCTCACCTGATGGTAAGTGACTACCGCCGCCCACGAACACCCACAACACCAGCGGCATTGCAGGTGTGCTGCCGGCCTTTTAAAAAAGAATATGCTCTTTTCTTGAAGGTTATGTTGTTGTATCGATTCGGAAATACTGCTGCGTGGAAGAAAGTGCCTTGAAAAACGCATGGTATGCCCATCCCTCAACAATTACGTTCCCATATTCGCCTCTTACGACACCCATGGCAAAGAAACAAAGACCACTAATAACTTGTTGCTCTAACAGTACACTATTTATTGAATATACATTTCAATAATAAATAAACAATAATAAATTTACAATGGTTTGACAGCCAAGCAATCTTTGATCTTTATTGAGGGAATAGTCTACCTTTTGTACGTCATGTTCATTGTAGCGCGGGGCGGCGGTAATTGTAATATTATTACGAAAGGGTTGACACGGCCATAATGGAGCGAGCGGGATTTCATTAAAGTATTTCACGGCTGAAATCGTGGACACCTGGACACGCTTCAAGACAGGGTCATTGACGCGGTTATACTTTAGACAATTAGAATACATGCTACAAGTGTTAAACATATTTCTATACTATTACAAATTGTTGTAATCCTCAATTCAGGGGAGAAAGGGAATGTTAGTAATGGAGTCTAACTCATTCTATCAGGTCGACATACACGTGGTTTTCTCATAGAATCTATCGTGGTTAATTCTAATGGAATTCGTCACAATGGGCTAACTGACCTATTTTTATCGCCAGCTATGATCCCTCACTGGTGCCCCGTCAGTGTATATCGAGATGGGTTACCATTCCATTATCACCCATTAAAAAAATCCTCAATCCAATAATTTTTTATACGTTTTGGGTTTTTAAATTTTGCATGTATTTAAGGTGAAATATATGGACGTTTAGTTTGTATTAGTTCTTAACATGTATATACTTACCATGTTTCTTGTAAATAAATAAACTAATATTTATGAAGAGGAAAAGTTTTTTTTTTTATTTATTTACACTTTATTGCACCAATTAAAAATAATAAATACAGTAAATTTTTGTAAAGTATAAAAGGCGACCTTATTGGTAAGCAGTCTCTTCCAAAAACCTTTGGGTATGGAATTACATGGTTTTTTGTAATAAACTCAAAAACTATTCAACTCATTTTAAAGATTCTTTCATTTATAGAAAGATATATTTTACTTCTCGAAGTGTCAAATGAAACAACATGCATACTTAAGTACACAATTATGTAGTATTTATTTTTACTATGAGGGAAAACATAAAACAGAAAATGATTCTTAGTAACTACTTATTTATATTAGTGTGAACATTGCGTCTGAGCATTTTCCGCTAGATTAGCAAAATCACGAACGACCGGTTGGCCACCCCTCGAATATTTTGTAGCTTTTTGTCCGCTACTTATAAGAAAAAAAACATATACGGGTATATATAAATTATGCACCAATCCATTGTTGATTAATTAAAAAATATTTTTTTTATACAACTTAGAATGACAAACAAGCTGAGAGTCCACCTGATGGAAAGTAGTAACCGTCGCCTATAGACATGAGCAATACCATGGATATAACAGAGTATACTGTTTCACCCATGATACCCCCATGCATTGCCATTCCTGAGGACTCGGGTGTTATTCCTCTGTACCCAGTAAATTCACGCCATATCCCACCCTTCAAACCGAAACACAGCCATGCACACACAAATGCTTCACGGTTGAAACACGAATGGGACAGAGGTACCCAAGTAATAATGTAGTAATATCAGATCGCTATTTTTATAAAAAAAATATATAAATAATTTCTTTCTGTATTTATTACGTGCAATTACTCTCTTAAAAATAATATTATTCGGTTTGGAATAAAAACTAAATACGCAACGCATTGGTGTCGTCAGTGTCCATGGGTCACGGTAATCACTTACCATCAGGTAAGCCATATGCACGTTTGACGCCCTCTCACATAAAAAAAAATCTGACTAACCTGATAAGACGAACAGAAGAACAGCCACTCCGGCTAGCATCTTGACTGATCTTGCCTGAAAAATAAAACAACATTATAATCACAAATACGATAATAGATTACATACATCATAATTTCAGCCATTATCTGTCCACTGCTGGGCATTAGCCTCCCCCATAGACTGCCATAAAGAACGGTCCTGAGCCACCTGCATCCACTGACTCCCTGCAACGCATTTCAGGTTATCACTCCATCTAGAGGGGGCCGTCTTACACTACGCTTGCCTGATTACATACATACTGATTAATTAATAATATAAAATTTGATCCTTCAAGCTAATATCAAATACTCCAATCACAGGGACAAAATCGTGGGTACACTTACAAAATACATAAATAAAGAGGTAAAGACTGTTAAACTATTGTTATTAGAGCCGTAACAGTCTGGAGTATAAAAGTATGATGAATTTTAGAGGAAACAAACCTCTGACAACGAAATATTGAGTTAAATCATGCTATATACACAAGTTTCACCACACAAAGCAAGCTAGTCACTACTCGAGCAAAAAAGTACTATGGCGAGCGAACGAGCGCCTACCTTATACCGCGATTAGTAAATTCTCTACCTACCGACTTGCGAAGCAATATCACTGTTAAAAACATAAAATTTAAACATATTTTTTTATATCTAACCTTGCTAAAATAACAAAATATTAATGTCGGTATTTATTTATTTATTTATACTTTTTTTTTATTTCTATGTACATTTGGCAGAGTTAACACCGGACGGTATTCTCTACCAACCTATCATTGGGCAAACCGATAAATATGTAGGCGGTGCATTATTGAATAGAGGAAAAATAAAGCAATACTTGATATATTCATATATCATAAACATAATTAAGCTAATATATACATATATATATATAATATATTATATAAATATAATAAAATGATAAAAAAATAAATACACTAAATATTACTATATCAAAAAACTTATTGTTTGAGAACGAAATGTAAACTGCCACATGCAAGCCCAAGAGGTCTAAATTCTACTAAATTCTTAAGTTTTTTATATGGATTTCGCACGATAATAAAATAAATAATAATAATAATTAAAGCGCTACAAGTCAAATAGATATAAGTAATTAAATTAATTTAATTTAATATTTAATTAAATTTATTTCATTAAATTTATTAAAGTATTTAAATGTAATTCATCCCAAAATAACGTTTTTGGATTTAATTTTCGAATGAGCCCGTTGCATGTCCGACGCGCACGTGACGGCAGTTTCTTTGGTAATTAAATTAATGTCATTTTTTGATCGATGCTCAATGAAAATGTTCCCACGTTTTATATTAATTTTACAAATAATGCAAATTGTATTTCGAATGGTAATAATAGTAATCGTATATAATTTTACGGTATCATATAGAAAATAGTTACTTTCCTTCAAGTGGGCTGCTAGTTTGTTTGTCATTCTTATTTTTATAAAAAAAACCATATAAAGCAATTATTTCATAGCATTTTTAATTATGTATGTGTAAAAAAGTAATTAGTACTTTTTAGTTATATGAACATTACCAATGATTAATTATATTACGTATATAAATGTACAATGTCAAGCAATCAATATCATTGTTTAATTTTTTTTTACTTTTATAGCTCACTACACATTTTTGGGAAACTATAATTGTAATGAGCAATTTATAAATAAATAAATTAAATTATATATAACAGTAATTAAATTAATATTTAAATATTATCTCTGTAATAAAATTATAGACTAAAAATATCCAAGTCTAATTGAATCTAAATATTTTTTGACTTTTAATTAAAAAATTATAAAATTTTAACCAGTTTTTTTTTTTTATAAAATATCTTTTATAATTAAACAATTTAGTATACTTTATCCCAGAAATAAATAAACTTGTAAAACTATAGGCATCATTCATACCTTGTAATATAATAATATTGAGTGACAATACCCAGTACTCACTCTACCAATATATCACCCTTCAAACCAAATGTACACAACGAAAATACAATAAGTGTAATGTATTCCATTATAGCAAACTTACTTTGCGACAATTCAACGTTCAAGCAGCCCGTTGATGGAGCGACATTCCTTGGCACTCAGTGACATAAACAATTCAAGAAAGTTACTACACTCCCGTAATACTTTCCGAAGTCGTAGCGCCGTCTACGCGTAGCACCGCACCCGTACGCGGCAATAACCCGAATGACGAAAGATGCTGCGTGGACCACAGCGGTGCGCCACAGGATAGAGCAATTCGTCGGGTACGGAACATAATATTCAGCAGACCAATCTACCTACTGGACGTGCAGTGTGAGGTTTTTTGTTCTTTCTATATGTGTAGATATATCTTATTTCCTCTCTGCTCGTTTTTTGGACATAATTGAATATGAGAATGTTTTGCGCAGATTAGCGCCACTTTGTTTTACTCGTATCAGGGCGATGACGATTCGTTTATATTTTAATACAGTGGCATGCTCGAATACATTTTAACATTTTGTTAAGTTTTTCAAATATGTTTCGGCAAATAAATAATTTATTGTATGTAATGCCAGACATAAATTAGTATTTTTCTTTTCAAATTTAATAAATATCTTACCAGACATTTTAATTTATATATGATTAGTCTGAAAATGGTTAAAAAAAAGTATTAAAGCGTGAAAACTTATTGCAAGATTTTTTTTATAACTTCATTTTTTAAAAAGAATAAATTAATGAAGTCTTAAATGGGAGACGGGTTTTTAACCAACTTTAAAAAAGATGTTTTTAATTTGACTCTATTTTTAAGAAGATTATTTTTCTTTAATTGAAATCATTTTATTGTACATAGTAAATATGTTTTTTATGCAACTTCGAATGGCGAAAAAATCACCTGATGGAAAGGGGTAACCGTCGCATATAGACATGAGCAGTACCATGGATATAACAGAGTATACTGTTTCGCCCATGATAACCCCCATGCGTTGCCATTCCTGAGGAGTAAGGTGTCATGGTTCTATACTTTTTTTTTATTTATTTATTTATTTTTAGATAACTTGGATCCATTTTTCTATGCAATTTTATTAATTATCGCATTATTTCTATTTTGTTAAAAATAAATGAAATTAAAAAAAAAAACAATTATCATTGCGGTAATGAAAATTGAAAATCTCTCATCTCGAGAAACTCTAAACCGTATATATAAACATATATCCGAAACAACATATCAATACATATGTAAACATACAAGCAAATAATTCAACACCGAGGCGGACGTGGTGTAACATTGAACAAACATAGTGTAATTGCATTGCAAAGTCTAACGTGATAATGTATTTTCTGTTAATATAAACATTTGTACAACAAATATTAATGTGTTTATCATCTGAACAAAGGTTTAAACTCAAAACTTGGGTATTTTATATACCAAGTTTACTAAGAGTATTAAATAAACGAGAAGATTACGCAATATAGGCAAGTTCCTAATGATTATAAGTAACGCCAGTTTCTATCGTAACAAGAAAACTTAGTAATGGAACAGTACAAAGATATGTAAATGTACGTATATGATAAGTATTTATTAAGCGACTCACAGAAGAAAGAAATACTTAATCAAAACGAGCTCCTCAATTCGGTTGAATTTTTTTATGTTTGTTACTTGATAACTCCGTCAGTTGTGAATCGATTTGGATTTCGAATTCTTATTTTATTTAAAAGGAATATACTTATACATTGGTATTCATATGTCATATACACACACACACACACACACACACACACACACACACACATGCATACACATACACACATATATATACATACATATATATATACACATATACATACATATACACATATAACATACATACAAAATACATAAACATACACATATAAATACATACATAGCAAGAAAATATGACAAATCTAGTCCAAAAATTACAATAGAGTGGAAAAGAATAACTACAGTGAAAGAAAATGTGATTTGACTTGTCGTTTAAACGAAGCCAACGATTGAGCACTCCGTATAGACGGTGGCAGCGAGTTCCATAGGCGCACTGCCTGAACGGAAAAGGATTTGGTGTAGTACACTGAACCCATAAATTACTGTTTCTCTAAAATTATAGGCTCCATTGTAATTTTTGTTTTTGTATTTGTTACTTCTTTGTTTCATATTGTTTCACTAAAAATGTGAAACAACAACATATGGAAGAGGGCACTAACTCCTGAAACACAGGTTTTTTCATACCTACCTCGGGAGTTAGGGACTTCAAACTATATTGTAACAAAGAGTGAAATAAAGATTATTTATTTATTATTATTGGTCTCGTAGAGTTCTATCAAAATCGATTTAAGAGTTTAGTTTTTAAATCAAAATAACTGGTTTAAATAGATACAATTAACTAAAGTCGGTTTTTTCGTGAAAACCAATTCAATTACGTGTAGTTATATATTTGATAATACTTTACCACACAAGGAATATTATTTTCATTAAAAAAAAATACTTATTGCAAAGTAGAATGTACTTGTAAATAAACTGTTCCGCGTTCAGAAATCTAAACAGTAGGTTGCAAAGTTTTACTTTTTTCCAAATGTAACGAGGTGTTGAGAGGTAAAAATTTTTAATCCGCTATTTGAGATTCCCAAATGCTTTTAATAGTAAAATAATAATACATAGTGGTATTATAAATCAATATTAATACCGCTGCGAGTTTTATTTATTTTATTCTTTATTGCACAATAAAACTGTACAAATGGCGAGATTAATGCCATATGGCATTCTCTACCAGCTAACCATAACCGAAAGCGTATGAAGGGCAGATGTGGTGAAAATTGTGTGACATATCTTTTTAATAGATGTTTTAATATAATAATAAAGTTTTAATAGATGTATAATTTGTACAGAATTAGCTAAATATAGGGTCAATAAAGGAGTATATTTTTTTATAACACAAAGGGCAACCTCCTTCTTATCCCTCTTTCTTTTTTAAATCATTTCAAAAGGAAGGTAAAATCTACACCAAGTGAATTTCTTAAAAATAAATGTATTTCGGAAACAAAAAACCTTGTATTGAGGAGCCAACACGACGTTGGCTCTCTCCAGTATGATGAATGTCGAATTTGTGCATTTGACGTTCAGCAGTACTTTAAGAAAGAAAGTGCCGATGAAACGAAGGAATTTTTATTCTGATTTTCGGAAAGGCATTTTATTTTTTTATTTTACCTCTTTTTTTTAATAATACTCCGTGTGTTGAACAATTAGGTAAATATCAAAATGTTTAAATATTTATTTAATTAGTTTTGTACATTCACTTTCAATATATATGTATATATAAACACAATAATAGACATGTTGTAAGGTATGTAATATACCTATTGTGTATAGTTCCGCTATAGGTTCCATATCGGTACACTATTAATTTCGTAACAGTTGAAGTTATTGTTTTTTTTATTGTACAAACATACATATACATATATACACACACACACACACACACACACACACACACACACACACACACACACACACACACACACACACATATATATATATATATATATATATATATATATATATATTTAAACAGTCTATTAAACATATAAGTCATACATATAACTCAACTGTCAAGTTTATTGTAAAAGCTAATTTAATCTTTATATTTGCTTATAGGAATGCATCAACAATAATATACTAAGCTCTAAAGCTCCACTGATAAATAGAAGAATAGGACAAGAGAAGCACACAGGATACAAATGACGGGCCGTGTAAGAGACAGAGCCAATGAAACTTAATCGCATTGAAGCGGGGACCGGCAAACGTCCTGCAAACACAAGTTATCCGCGATCCCGCCCCGGCGCGGAAAGCACGAGCCGAGTACACCCACCGCGATACGGCAAAGTTTATAAGAAGTGCTTGAAAAAATAGACGCGACACTTGTATTAATTAGATATTGTATTACCAGAGGGAGACTTTGTACAAAAGTCGTTTGCTAGGGTATCTCTGTCCCATTCGTGTTTAAACCGTAAAGCAGTTGTGTTTGCATGGCTGTGTTTCGGTTGGAAGGGTGGGATATGGCATGATTTTACAGGGTACAGAGGAGTAACATCTGAGTACTCAGGAATGGCAACGCATGGGGGTATCATAGGCGAAACTGTATACTCTGTTATGTCCATGGTACTGCTCATGTCTATAGGCGACGGTTACCATATTCCATCAGGTGGGCCGTCAGCTTGTTTGCCATTCTAAGTTGTATAAAAAAAGATGTTGTTTAGTAATAAGTTAAAATGTAACATGTTTAGTTTATTTATTTAAGGCAAACAAACAGCTAGAACAATACATAATTATATACTTAAATAGTAATTTGGCAGCCACTAAAATTTGCACAAATAAAATTTGAAGTATCCGCAGATTTGATTATGTTTATAATCTGAAAAGAAGTAATGCTCAATAAAATAAGTGAACTAGGGAGGAAGAAATTCTAATTTATGCAAAAAAAAAAGAAATAAAAGAATGAAAGGTCATGTTTTCAACACAGGAAGAAAAGGAGCATGTAACTCACCTGATGGTAAGTGACCACCACCACCCATGATCACCCGAAACACTAAAAGTGTCGCTGGTGTACTGCCGTCCTTTTAAAAAGGACTATGCTCGTTTCTTGCAGGTTATAATGTCGTATCAGTTCAGAAATACCGCTGCTGGAAGTTGATTTCAAAAAGTAGTTGTGCGTAGAAGAAAGTGTCTAGAAAAACGCACGGTGGAAGACCCGTCCTGATGGTTGGGATCCGAACAATAATCTTTAAGACAAAAACCTTATATAGATATACGCCAAGATACATTTTATGCGTAAAGCTAATTGTCAAATTAGCTGACAATTCTACATATTATTAACAAAAAGTTAACCTGTTTTGAGGCTCGACGTTCTTTCTATATAATCTAATTCTTTCAAACTTTAAAGCATGTACTCTGTTTATTTTAAAATGCTGTTAATTTTATATATTTTTCTCTTACTCAATCTAGATGTGTTTCATCTGAGATACTCTCTCAGATGAAACACATCCGTAGGTACACACGTCCAAGTGATGTCAGTGGATATTCTGTGAGAGCGTCGCGCGGGAGTGTTTTATCAGTGCCCGACAGTGCCTGCTCTCCGCAGATACTGAGAACAAACGGAGCGGATTCAAGATATTTAAACTTCAACACTTATTTTATAAAC